TGTGCACTCTTACCTGAACTAGCTCTCTAGCCTCAATTTCCGAAATGGTCCACATCTGGCTGTACATTCTACAACTGAGGTGACTCACTGACGACAAGAGTAGCCGCTTTGCCATAACTGGCAACAGGGCAAAATGTCTGCCTATTATGGTCTGAATTTGAATGTCCCTTATTGTTTTGACTAACCCATCCAGTGGTGTTATCTGGAAGGTTGTGGAGCATTTAGGTGAAAGCAGATCACTAGGGTAAAATTTTGAAGGTTATATCTCTCCCTGGTTCTGTTCTGGTCTAGCTGTTTCCTGGTCCATGCCACGGGATCAGTAGTTGCCTCAAGATACTGGTAACACAGACAAACCTTTCCAATGTCACACACTGGTAACACAGACAAACCTTTCCAATGTCTTCCACCTTTGATGTGTTCAAAGTTCTCTGAAACAGTGAGCTAAAAAAACAAACAAGCCTTTTCTCTTTTCAGTTCTTCTGTTGGGTATTTTGACCCCAGCAATGTGAAAAGACTAGGCACAATTATTATGAACAATGGGGTTACTGCTTCAATAAAGTAAATGTGATCATGAAGTTCTTAGGCCTTTGGAAATGGTTTATGGGAAAATGTAGATGAGTTTGGAGATGTGGGCTGAAGGAGTCTTCAAAGCCGCTAGGGGTGACTCCAGTGGAAATTCTGAAGACCAGAATGCTGACAGAAATACTGATGGTAAGGACTACATACAAAGTTTCAGATGGGAACAAAGATCAGAAACAATTAAGCTAGGAGTTTATTTAATGCTCTGACAAAGAATCTAGCCACATTATGTCTATGTCCTGAAACTTTAAGTGAGGCTGAATTAATAATAGTCTAATTTATTTGTCAGTGAAAGTTTCTACACAGCACAGAATTCAGGCTATGAAATGGCTCAATGTAGATGTTAATAAGATTAGTATCATTGACTGAAATAATTGAAGGTGTTAACCTTCCCATTGAAAGGCCCAGGGTATAAAACAGCAAAAGCCCTTGGAATCCATTTAAAAATAGAAAGCTGAAGGGGCCCCCTGCTAGAATTAGGGCCACCCAGTAAAATGCTTTCCCAGGTTTAACCTTGCAGGCAGAGACGGGGACTGTTGCATGTGCAAAGGGGCCACACTATTTCTCAACTGGCAACAGTTGATGTTGTTCATATGGTACTGTTTTATAGGCACATAGAATGCAAGTTATAAAGCCAAAGGCTTGTACCCAGGTTTCATAAAAAACACCCATGAGCCTGTATCCTCTATGAGAAGCACCTGAGCATGCTATGAGTCAAGCTTTGAGGTAAAGTCTAAGTTGCAATAGAGACTCCAGGATTTTAGAGATGCCAGAAAAATAGTGGAATAAGTATGTATGAAAGCTTTTGTGGAGCCAGGACAAGACAGGCCACAAACTCTACAAATGGCAGGGCTGTGGGGCCACAGTGGAATGTCATATGTCAGAGTACCATAGCTTGAGTACATCCCTAAGGCTCATGTTGCAAGTACCTGGTCATCTCTGTGGTATTAGTGTGAAGAGTGTAGAGCCTTTAGGAGGTGGGCCTGACTGGTGAAATTAGGTTAGTAGAGGAAGCCTAGTTATGTTACAACTGGAGAAAGGGATGGGGCTGTAACACCATTTGTCAAAAGAGCCACTGGAGGCCGTTAGTTCTCAAATGACATTAGTAACAGCATAAAGAGCCCAGGGATGTTCTTTGTCCTTTTTCCACACAAAGACACAAGAAAAAGAGAACCATCTATGAATCAGAGAATGGACCTACATCAAAGCCGGAGTTTGCCAGCACCTTGGTGTTGGACTTCCCTGCCTCCAGAACTGTAAGAAATTAATTGGAAACCATTCAATTTATGGATATTTTGCTATAACTGCCCCCAAAGTCCAAGATAAACATTTTCTTAAATAACCATGATACTTAACAGTCTCAGGGCTATGTGTTTCTTTCATTTACTCAACCAACATGTATTAAAACCAGAATACCAGTTAACATTCTATAAAATGTAGTAGATAAAATTTCAAATATAAAACTGTAGTTTTTGCTGAAAGAAGTTATGAAACAATTACATAAAATATAAATTTAGTCGTGCTATGAGCCAAGAAGGAAAAATTCAAGACTGTTAACAGATATGCGAGCAGAAGAACCCAGGCTATGGCAGTGATTGGCAGGACATATATTCTCATAGTTTAAAGCTTCTCCTTTCATATTAAATAAAGAGAAAACATTAAATATTTCTGGTTTGGCTCTAGAGTTGAGTATTCTTCAGATATTAGACTGGTAAACTCAAAGGCATACCACAACACATTAAACTCTGGACATTTATTTTGGGAAGCCACATCAGGATGAACTGACCATGCCAATAGCTGCTCTCCTCCTAGCATATGAATTCAGAAGGAAAATGCTAAAGAGGAAAAAAAGACTCCATTTTCTGAACACCTACTTAGATATAATTTTACAAAAACCAGAGTGGATGATTGAACCCTTGAAGAACGTGTCTACTAGAGCATCTGTGTGCTCCAGAGGACTTTTTCATTCAAGTTAAGGATGGAAAAATGTCCAGTACACTTTAAGATTAGATATAACAGAGGATCAAGGATAGAACTGAAAGACAGCAAGAAATATAAGTGATAACTCAGACTTTCATTCTAAAAGATAAAACTATTTCACTTGAAACCAACAGAAATCTTCAAGTTCCCCTTGTTTTCAATAAGGGGAGTCAGCCACAGACTATGTGAAGCCCTCTGTCTCAGTGTGCTAATACTTGGAAACAAGGTCTTCAAGAGGTAATTAAAGTTAAATTAGGTCACAAGGGTGAGGCCTAAGCCTATAGAATCGTGTTCTTAGAGAGAGAAGAGAGATTAAAAACCCCGTCATTCTCCTCTCTTTACTATTTGAAGACATAATAAAAAGGTTGCTGTCAGTAAGTCAGAAAGAGAGCCTATTCAAGAAATGAACCTGCCAAACCTTGTTCTCAGTCTTCAGCCCCTGTGCAAACATAAATCTATTATTTAAGTCAAACTGTGTGTGTATTTTGTTCTGGAAGCCTGAGATGACTAGTACCCCTTCCTCATTCTTGCCTACTCTGGTGTCTAAAGTGCACTCTTATGTGTGACTTAGAGAACAGTCTGCTCAAGTTGTGGGATATATCAGAGAAGAACACCATGGTACAGTGTAAGAAGTATTCCTTTACACTTGACAACTAGACAGGAGTAATCATCGGTCAAGGCACTTCCTATGCAGAGAAGGAAATGAATGGGTGATTTTTGTATGTTTGCATTTACTTTTAAATTCTTGAAATTTCATATTCTTTTCTATACAATCATAAGTATTCTGTAGTGAAGCATATCTGAGTATTTTCAGCTTTGACCAGCTTGTCTCCAAATCCTATCAGGGGTTACTGATACAGAGTAAACAAGGCTATAAATCACATACAATGCATTTAATACCTCAGCGCTTCGCAAATTGATCTAGAATAGGGGTCAGCTCAAATCACTATTCAAATGAAACCATTCCCTTCCCATGAAGAGAAGAAGGAATGCACATTAAAGATGGCAAGTGATGGTGGATTCAGATGTGTGGCTGCTTGGTTGCAAGTAGATGGAGGCCAGATTTCCTCAGGTGAGATTCTCCAGTTATTTATTTGGTAGAAGTTATGGATATTTAAAAGCACACATCTTTGTGCTGGCATTAAACTTGAAATCTGGTGGGCAACTTTTCAAGAAATAAAAGCTGCAAACAAAATAGCTTCCATTCCATTCAGCACGCTGTGGGAAACGACTAATGGATAAGCATTACTGTGACTGGCAGGGCGAGCTGCCAATAACAGGGATTCAAGCCCACATAAAAGCAACACTTTCTCGGCTTATTTCACTAATTTGTCAAAGTAGGACATTATCTGACAGGAAAGAAAACAGGGCTGGATGAGCACTGGAGAAGGGAACATTTAGAGTAAAGGCTCTACCTTTTGTCACCACTGGTCTGTAATGTCCCCTTTGTGTAATTAGGATTGACTTTCCCATCCTCTAACTGCACTGCATGCAACAAGAGCTGGTTCTTCTCTGCTAGGACATGCATCCATTATTTACTTATTCCTGCTTTGTCTTCTTACAAAAGAAAAAGGAAGTCTAGTGGTCAGAAGCAAAGCAATGGTGGCATTCTGATACACGTCCTTCAGAGACGGCATACTTTGGCATCCCTACTACCTCCTCATTTGCCTGTGTCCTCCTGTGGGGGAGGGGAGAGGACTCCAAAAGTGCTCTCATCTCTTTTCCATCTTCACCCCTTAACTCCTAGTTCCTTCTTACCACTTTAAACGGACAAACCAAATTAAATGTTATGACGGTCAAAACCTACAACTTCTAACACAGACAGAAGTGTCCACCATCACAAAAGAAGAGTCAATTCACCTCATTATAGTTTCAATGTAGTTCAAGATTTAGTGGACAACACCACCTTTTATTTCAGACAAGGCTTTTCCCGTAATTGCTAAGCACTCTGAATCTGAGGTGGTACTACCTTAGCTCAAATCCTACTTCTATCACTAACTCCTGGGCAGATTTAGATAAGTGAGTTTAATCTCTATGCCCCCACCTCACTTGTGAGTAGTAATTTACATCACATCTTACTGTATCAGGCAGAGAAGGCATTATACGGACAATTGACTATAATCAAGATTATGTCAGAACACAGCTAAAGTTGTACTGTTTTAAGCTCAGAATTCACTAGTACTATTAAATAGTTGTATGTAAAACCAAGTGAAGGATCATTTGTCTTAGATAACATAAAACAATATTCTTAAACATCAAATAAGGAACGGAGTTTAAAATGAAATCCCTTCTTCTAAGTTAGCCTCAACTGAAGCTAAGACTTGCACTTGACTTAGAAACATTCAACTTTCCTAAATAATGAGTCAATGGAAACCACAAGCCATGACAGAGTCAGCTTCAAAGCACTGACAAGCAGAGGCCTTGCTCTGTGAGATACATACTTTTGGGGAGATCTGTTGTCAACTTCGGCCTTAAGTCGTAAATTCTCCCTCAACAGGCCACCATTTTCCAACTTCAATTTTTTATTTGCCTAGAAGAAGAGTTAAAAATAATTAAACATAAGCTAACATAAAATTTCCTTGTAAAAATTATGACATGAGCCATCTGCATTCTTACAGCAGTATCAAAAAACTGAACACTAGACATAGCCCTCAGAAATGTAAAATTACCAGGGGGTATAGCTTGAAACTGTGACTACAACGAGGCATTTAAAATCCCCAAGCACCTTCTAAATCCTCTACTCAGGGAAATGAAGCTGTGTTAGTTAGCTAGCTCAAAGCCACTAAGGGATCATGTGGTTTTGTTTTGTTTTGACCATAAATGAATGCTCTAAACAAGACAAGATTATATCATCCACAAGTATTTACAAACTAATGCTAAAGAGTTAATTCTTACACCATGAGACTAATTTCTTGGTTACTATTTAAACACTTCTCTAGTGATAAATCTAACACAAGAAAACTACTGATTTTCGTTATTCAACAAGTCCTTCTTCTGTCTTTCAACTTCTGATACCCTTGAAATCTGGGTAGTATTTCCTAGTAAGTTCTACTGATTGTCCCTTGACATACATATGTAAGAAAAAAGTCCTTTAAGCATAACTTTTTTTTCTTGATTTGTTCAATATCTAAAATTACTAAAAAACATCCAGTAGCTCATATGGAATACATAGACTGTCACAAAAAGAAGGGGTGGGGAAAGCTAGAAGCTCAGTATCACAGATAGCCTACACAAAACAAACAAACAAACAAAACCAATGCTCTTAGAGTTTAGGATTTTCTTAAAAGCCCCTTTATTTAAATTTCCATTACTGCATTTGTGTACTACTAACAAAATTAAACTCTATAGATCAGACACCAAACTTAACTCACTCAGCAAAGAAAATGCTATGGTTAGAACATTTATTTTCATAGTTAACAAGTCACAGAATTACTGTCAGGGGGAAAAAGGGTAAACTAAGAATTTTTAAACATATATAGTAAAAAAAAACCGACCCATTTTTGACTAACTTCCAGAATGTATTACTTGCCTACTTAAATATAACTGTACCTCAACAGTAACAAGAAAAGGAGGGTGGAGAATACTCATTTGCAGCCTATACCCTTACTCAAACTTATCCAAGTTCATTTTGGGCTCTGAGCACTCACTCACCTTCATGGATGCACACAAGTCAGGATGGTGGAGGGTTAATTCTTTAAGTGACTGATAGACACCATTATTACCCCCGAAGATACAAGGAAAGCCATTTACTTCCTCATACATACCAACAATGAATTAAGCTTTCAAGCATTGCACCATAAAGAGAGGCACTTAGTGAATATTTTTTGATGATGACAAGAAGCTTAAATTAGAACTCACTTGACTTCCTTCCCTTCCCCCACACCCTAATACTGGTATCACTATCAGTATGTTTCAAGGTCCCTCACCAGTCCTGTGGCTTTTTAATACTTCTCATTATAGACTGGATAGCTCCTAACCATTAAAAGGAAATAAAGGTTATAAACAGTAGAATTCTGCCTACTTATACTACCTAGAGATATCAAAGACTTTAATAATTGTGCATTCTCAACTGACTGGGAATGATGTCTCATAATGTTTCCAAACTCACTGAATCCAGGAAGCACCAGAAGTCCATTTGCTCACACCAAGTTGTACTTTCCTGAACCCTTTCTTTTCCTGCATCTGACTTAGATCATTATTTGTACTTCATACATGTGTTTTGTCTCTATAGTCCATGTTTCTTACTCATTTATAATTTATTACTTAATACTATCAGTGGGTACCCCAAACAGGCTTATTAAATATCCCAAATAATTCTGATGTCTTAGGATATCTGTAACCATTGAATTTAAAAATAATTGTGATTTACAAAGCCTTCTTTTCATATATTCTCCACAGTGATATTATAAGCCCAGAGTGAATTCTGCACAGAGCTTCATGCTCTAAGAAGTATTTCTGCCAAAAAAATTTAGTAACTATAGAAGACCACACACGCGCTGGGCGGTGGTGGCGCACGCCTTTAATCCCAGCACTCGGGAGGCAGAGCCAGGCGGATCTCTGTGAGTTTGAGGCCAGCCTGGGCTACCAAGTGAGCTCCAGGAAAGGCGCAAAGCTACACAGAGAAACCCTGTCTTGAAAAACCAAAAAAAAAAAGAAGACCACACACAGCTTGCTGGTGGCTCAAAGGAAACATTGGAAGTCACAGGAGAAACTGCTGATTAATAATATTAGATGTCATTCCTTTTAGTTTTTCTTATCTTTTCACAAAGGTAACGTGTTTACACTAAGGCTGTCTGCTAACACACAAGTGAACTATATACTTCCCTTATAAACATGCGGGGAAGTATGGATGTAGTTCCTTTTTGTTCTGAAAGCAGTTTCCTTCTTCCTTTCACACTGGCCTTTTATGAATCGCACAGCATTTGTTTTCTATATGGACAATGGTTTACACTGAGTTGAAAATGTTCCTCTACTACTTAACCTCTCTGAAGATATGAGAGCTAATATGCAGTGGATCTTCTATAAAATATCATATGGAGTCCATTAATGATTTCATGGCTCAGGATGCAGTAATTCAGAACAAGAAGAGCATTTTAAGAGAATGCAGATAGGTTAAAAGGGCGGTTGTAGAAACGAGTGCTATAAAACCATACTCATTTAGCACTACTGTACTCCAGGGTAGAATCCTGAAGTCAAACTAAAGATTCTTTGTTCCAGAAAGCAATGCAATACCTGTCACTGCCCTAGTGTTAATAGCATGCATCTTTATCTCCTTTCTAGATTTAAAAAATCCTAAAAGTTTGCTCCCCCTCCCCTCAACTAATATTCTCTATATCTTGTTGGATGGATAGACAATAGGAAAATGAATCCGCCTCATATGCCACATTACTCTTTTGTATAAGTGGTCTAAAGTAGCTTCTCACAGCTTTCTCTGAATTAGTCAGTAAACTTTCAATGTGTACTTATATTCAGCTTTCAAGACCAGAGACTGCAGTGCTAGGAAAGATACTGTTAAAATCTTTTGTTCAGCTGGTACAGCGAGACACACCAGTAATCCTAACACTAGGAGTCGAAGCAGGAGGGTGGTTAGTTTGAGGCCAGCTTGGGTTACATGGTACAAGATCCAGACAATCTTGGGCTATATAGTGAGATTTTGCCTCAAAAAATAAGTGAATAAATGTTTCTTTGCTAAGTTGGGAAATGGGATATGTTTGTTTTAATGCCCAAAAAGCAGCCACTGCTATAAACTTAAAAAAATTAAGGCAAACCCCAAAGATGGGGGACAGAAACACATCCTTTCCACTGATGCAATTCTTCCAGAAGAACTCTCATACACAAGCACGACAGCATCTCCAAATATAGTCACAAATGGAACCACCTGATGGTTCTTGGCAGCTAATGACAGCTAATGAGACTATGTTTTCGTATTACATGTAAATGCTCATCCAGGGTTCAGTCCTGCTCTGACAAATTAGCTATGGAAGAGTCAAGGTATATGGCTATTTATACTTGTGAAAGTACTTAAAATACTGTAAAACTTTAAAAATAACCATCATAGATTTTCCCCCAAGACTACAACTTACCTCTTTTAACTTAGTCACATCATCTTTCACTTTTTCATAGATTTCATTAGCTGTTCTGAGTTTTTTCTTCCACTCTGCTACAGTTTCCAGGTCAGTTTTACTTGGATTATCTGCTGCTGGATGTTTGTCTTCATTTTGGCCGCCCTGCATCAACGTTAAAGGGTCCAGAATAGTCTTGATCTGTGACTCCAAGCTGAGGTTTTTACTTTTAAGTTCTTCTACTTCTTTCTGCAAACAATCTATTTCATCCTGAAAGAGCATGGAATTCAATAATCAGGTATGGACTAACTCTTGTATGCTAAGCCAGAGCCAATGTGTTCTTGAATATTACACTCAAACTTTTATACATACACTGATTCAGTGTATGTATAGTTTTGTAAGGAAAAAGTCAGTTTAAATTCTCAAAATGCTTTTTGACTCTTATAAAAATTGGTACCAATTACTTACATCTTAATTCAAAGACAACTATGGTTTTATATATAAATGTCAATCCTTCAATTTTGTTAAGATATCAAGAAAATAAGAACAAAACATGAATTTCAACAAAAAGTAGATTCTAATTGAGAAGGAAAACTTAAGGCATGTTAATTGCTTTACAGAGAGAAATTTAAAAACTGTTGTTCAAAATAGCCAACGAGAATTTTGTTTATACTTCTGCTTCTGTATCGAAATAGGAATGAAATCCTTCCACTTTTCACCCCAGATTAATATCAGTAGTGGGCCTTCAACTACTAGTCAGAGCTGTTCCCAATATCACTCTGGAACTGCTGTTGCTCTTGCATGTGACAGCAAACATTTGGAGTAGATTCTTCTGTGTAATGCTGGGAGGTTCTGCTGATCAGAGGTTGCAGACTACTGTAGCCTGGCAGCTTTCTCTAGGCTCGGCAACATGGAGGACTCCCTCCTTCCGCAAAAACCTCCTGCTCTCTACCCCACCTTATGTGGAGGATGTCTCTGGGCCCAGGATGTCTGACTTATGTCAAGGGTGAGACTCCTGACATAGTTCTCTGCAAAAGCTCTTCCCCCATGACCCACATGGTAATTAGGCAAGTGCTCTAGCCATTTTGATAGGACCCTGTTGCCACCTACGAAGCCTTGTTATAGGAGCATGCCACCTAATGCAAACTAGGATTTGTCCCCAGGCTCCCCAATCCTATATATTTCTTATATTCTGGAATAAAGTTGAGCTGATTCACTGAAGTCTGTCTCCTGGAGGGCTGTCTCCATCGTACCCACAGCTGTCTGAACCTTGTTCCCACTTCTGCTCCCTCCACTCTCGTGGACCAATGCAGCCAACGATCCCAAGGAAGAAGCACAGCCACAGTGTAATAGCATTTATTCTTCTATAATGGACATATCATCTTAATCTGAGATGGTCAAAAATTCTAACAGAAAATAAACTCCAAATGTCAGGGCTTGTCTGAATGTCCCTCCCAATCTCCTGCTGAAATGTAACTGTCATTGTGAGACCATTACAAGGGGGAAACATCAACAGGTGATTAGGCCATGAGGCCCTCATGAATGGGTTAATACTGATATCTAGGTTATCAATGAATGGGTTCCTGACTTCTCTTGTTCCTTTGTTCCATTATCATGTTGACAATGCCTTAACTTTAGCTTGCAGAAACATAAGCCAGGTTAAGGTGTTCTGACTTTAAAGCAAGAGAAAACAGACTTAAGTCAATGACCTCTCTGATTAATATCTATGGCCTTTATTAATTATGGAAGAGTGCATTTTAGATTTGTTACAGTACTAATTACCAGTAAATTATAATGCATTTCTAAAAGAAACCGTGCTCTTCCAGACCCCACTATTTGTTTGTTTGTTTTGACAAGGTCTTTGTGTCAGTGGTTCTCAACCTGATGTTGAGCAACTCTTTCATAGGTGTATTTACACTGGGATTCATAACAGAAGCAAAATTTCAGCTACGAAGTAGCAATGAAAATAATTTTATGGTTGGGGCACCACAATGTGAGGAATAATGGATCGCAACATTAGGAAGGTTGAGAATCACTGCTCTATGTAATCCTGGCTGTCATGGAACTCACTATGTAGACCAGGAAGACCTTGAATTCACAGAGATCTGCCTGCCTGTCTCCCAAGTGATGGAATTAAAGGGATGTGCCACAATACCCAATATAAGAAGTTGCATTCTTCAAATTAATATAGCAATGAATAAATAAACATGCACTTATCTATTCACAAACGTGGAAAACATGTAGGAATGAACATTTATTTCATCACTTATGCTGTAGTGTATTAAAATGTTTGAGGCAGCTGAGGTAGTTTCCATGTACAGAGTCTAATTTAAAGTTACTTTCTATCATACTATATGTATATAGCAGTATAAATATTTGTTGTGGACCAATCAGTCATTCTGTCTTTCTTCAAATTGACCAACCCTAAATTAGGAGATGAAGACCCTTCAGTCTTAAAACACCCCAGCCCTCGAGAAGAGACTGACCTTTTAGCTTCACAAGGCCCCTCTGCTTTGCCCCTCAGTCTTTCCTTGTGTGTCTGCTGCACGTGTGTTTCCTTACCCCCCACAGAAAGCCTTTAACTGCTAAAAACAAGGGATGGATATCTTCTATACATCCAGATCAAATATAATCTACACACACATGCACATGGAGATGTATATATTATAAAACTTCCACCCCTCCTTTAGTGGAGAGAAAATGACAACAGGGTTGAATGTCTACCATTCAAAAGAATATTTATTCCAGCAGCAGTCGTTCATTGGTAAAAATTCCACCTTCACCGTAGATCAGTAGCTTATTCACCTTTAGATGAAAATCAGAAATACATATTTCACACTGAAATCCCTGGGCTAACAGATGACATAACATTTATTTAGTGTACCAGAATTCATCATGTTTATAATCACCACTGAATCTATAAGCAGTAACAAATTAATTGAGTTCCCTAAGTGGGCTTCTTTAATCTAATTGCTCATTTTTTTTTAAATTGACCCAAAGAAGTACAGAGTATTAAACAGACCAACACACACACACACACACACACTCTTTTAAAAAGGAGGGGGCCAGAGAGACAGCTCAACAATTAAGAGCACCTCTGCTCTTCTAAAGGACCTGGGTTTGATGCCCAGCACCCACATGGCAGCCCCAGGTGATTCAACACCTTCTCCTGCCCTCAGATACCAGGCACTCAAGTGGTGCACAGGCAAACATGCACACAAAACACTTTCACACATAAAATAAAAATCACAAATTAAAAAATAATTTCAAAGAAGGAAAAGAAGAAGGGGAAATGTTTCCATTCTATGAAATCCTATTTTTTCCTATTCTATGAAATCCTAGTCCTTACTTAAATAAAACCATTTCTCAACAGCCTGGTCTACAGAGTGAGTTCCAGGACTGCCAGGACTGCTTCAGAGAAACCCTGTCTTGAAAAACCAAAAAAAAAAAAAAAAAAAAAAAAAAAAAAAAAAAAAAAAAAAAAAAAATCTCTCTATTTAAAATAGAAAAGGAAAAACTTATCAAATACCTTTTGATTGGCACTGAATGTTTCAGACTAGGCATGGGGGTGAATATGTGTAATCATAAGGGTCACAAGACTCTCCAAAATAAACAATCCCTCCTCCCCAAAGAAGACTGGAGGAAAATAAAAAGATCAAGGGTTCATAGGATGTGGGTCTCAGACCGGTTGACCTAAGTCAACTGTGAAATCACACTAAAGCTGTTTCAGTTACCTCATACTCTTTGTGGAGTAGCTCGAGTCTTGTTCTCCGAAGGTGCTTCCTGACTGTAGGGCTTAGCATAGGTTCACTTTCACCTGTTCCTCCTGGAGGGGAAAAATTCCTCAGTTTTGCTTGGTTTGGGTAAAATAAAAATGAACTTTTTTTTCATATTGTATTATACAACTTCCCAGAAATAAATTTTGAATAGGTAGATTGGAGACTCTGGTCCAGTTAAGGATAATGTGAAGCTACTTAAGGTTTAAAAAAGAAAATTAGTGCCACAGTAGGGGAGGCAAGAGGAGTCTCAAACAGCAGCTAGGAGAATAACAGGTTCAGAGAGACTACTGGTGCTTTGTTTTCACTTTAGGGGTAAATTTTTGTTTATCTTCAGTAAACATTAAAAGTGAGCCTATAGTTAGCCACAGGTACACAGCACCTTTCAGGAAACTTAAGTAGTTGTCGTGGTCTAAAGTTAGGGGAAACTGTCTTCAATACTGTTTGTGATGGAAATGGAAAGGAAGATACATGACAGAGAGAAAAAGACTGAGTGGGACTTTGGGATCATGGGGGGGGGTGGTTACCATTAGGCCTTTCTTTATTTTAACCCCGAGGGGGGAAAAACATGAACAACACCCAAAGAAATACCTTCAGGGTTGTGTTTACTTACCTAAATATCTTACCATAGCAAAGTCAAGGGAAGAAAGGGTTACACAGGATTAATTTATCAATTTTGAATACCGCAAATCTGAAGACAATTGTTAATTAAAACACATCCGGGTACTAGTGACACAATTCTCACTGAATCTAATGACCCAGTTACAGGTCATTACAGTTACAGGACTGAGGGCCAGCACTAGCTGTACACCCCAGTTTGTGGGAAATGCACCCACTATGAGTTCTTTCAGAGAGCTCTGAACTAACACTGGGGTTACTGCCTTTGTGTTAGCAACACGATAGCCAAAACATTTTACAGATGTTCTTTCTCCGGACAGTCTATCCAAGCACAAGGATGAATGGAGTATTTCATCTCAGAGTTCATTCGTGTGATTTAGATAGGAATGAATTGCTGTGGGATAGTGCTTTTGTAGGGTTTTTGTTGGTTTAATAAAACGCTGATTGGCCAGTAGCTAGGCAGGAAGTATAGGCGGGGCGAGCAGACTAAGGAATGCTGGGAAGAGGAAGGGCTGAGTCAGGAGTTGCCAACCAGACACAGAGGAAGCAATATGTAAATGTCTAACTGAGAAAAGGTGCCAAGCCATGTGGCTAAACATAGATAAGAATTATGGGTTAATTTAAGTGTAAGAGCTAGTCAGTAATAAGTCTGAGCTAATGGCCGAGCAGTTATAATTAATAGAAGCCTCTGTGTGTTTACTTGGGGGGTGTGAGGGGGAGAGATCTGTCCCAACTGTCGGCAGACTGGGACACAAAAACTTCCAACTACAAATGGTGCCAAAATGAGGTGCAAGAGTTTCCACTTAAAACCTGAGAAAGCTTTAAAAAAAAAAAAAAAGATTCTAAAACGGAGCTAAAAACAGCTTCCTAGTTGTGTCTCTCAGGCAAGCCATGAGCTACAGTATGTTGGGTTCACAATGGCATGTGGGCTTGAGTGCAGCATGACATATTCCCATGGTACACAGAGGCGTCTCCAAGCCACACAGTGCACTGTGTGACAGATTTAGCTTTTGCTATTACAAGAAAAAAAAAATGTTTTTGGGTTACACACTGCCGGATTCTGGGAGGCATAGACCCACTGCCTCCCAGAGTCCGGCAGTGAGCATGGTTCTCCCAAAGCTGGCTGTAAATGTAGTTCCCCCATGTGGGGAAGCTGAGGTGGAGCCAGCAGCCAAAGCTGCTATTTTAGTCCTAATAATGCTGGAGTTTAAAGCAATACATTCACAATAAGGCCGATTCAGATGGAATAAGACTTTGAATGGTTTACACTGTGTGTAAAAATGTATGTAGGCTTGAAAGAGAGAGAAAAAAGAATATAGACAGTTTTATTAAAGAAATAGAAAATTTTAAAAACTAAAGTCTTTTAAAGAGACAGTAAAAGTAATATAAAAAATAGGCCACGTAAAGATGAAAATCACACACAGAGTCTGGATTATACTGCTTTTTGGATTTTTAACTGGAGAGAGACATTTGATTATAAAGGCTACCGAATTAAACCAATATGTATATTTTAAAGGTATCTTGACTTCAAAATTTATGTCTAAGGATACGTTGCTTTGGAAAGGAGGCTCTGCTTTTGTTTTCACAGGAAGCAAGAGGCTTCTAGGTTAAGATACATCAGGTTTGAACAACCAAGACCCCCTGAAAGGTCTCCGATGACACCATGGTCGAGATGATCCAATATCCAAAAACAGGTTCAAGGCAACTTGCTCAGAGAATACAGCCTCACAGACTGCTCTAGTCAGGATTTGACCATAATCCTAAAATTTTCTTTGTATCCCCATAAGAATACAGTGCCCTATATCCGCAGGAAGTAGCCTAGAACACTACACCCACACTCCCAAAAAACAGATTATGGATGTTTGTCTTTGTTTAGGTAGATGGTTACAAATGGTTATTGGTCATAGTCAATCTCTTTCTAAAAGAAAACAGGGGAACATGATATAGAAATATAGGATATAGGTATCATAGGATAAAAGGATGGATTGTTGAACCTACTTTTAAAGAGCAACTTTTTAAAAACATTTTACATTGATATAGATTTTGGTTTATTGATACAAATTTAAAGTTAATTTTGTTATACTGTATGTATATTTCTACTCTTGTTTAAGGTATTATGTTTGTGCAGCTCATTTAAATTGTAATAGATAATTAAGAAATACAGATTAATAATTAGCCTTCTACGAGAATCAAACTTGTAGTCATGTTAAGTTTTCTAAGTATACATAGATATATTTCAATTAGATAGGTAATCTTCAAACACTTCAAAGACCTACAGAATATGGCATTTAAAATGTTTTAAAAACAGACTTTCTGGACAGTGAGACATTTCTGCTCCTGGCAGGACTGATTTACTTCAAAGATAAAGATGGGCATTGAAGATACTCCATATGGGGTTTATCTTCTTCTTAGCAAAAATATCCATTTGGGCAAGAAACTGTTCTTGTCTGGACTGCTTGACAAAATGTTGTATCAACTAGACATGCAGGAGCCATAGGAAGGTGACCATTGAACTTTACAAGATGAGATGGTCCTTCAGGTTCCTGCTTTACAGAAGAGCCTGCCAGATATTCTACAGGACACAGAGAAAAGTGACTGAGAGACTCTAGGCCTCTAGGCTGAAGAATGAATGCCCCAACATTGCAGAAGAACTTTGGGTAACTGTCCAGGTAGTCAGCTATATCTGTCATTTCCAGAACTTTTTAAAAATTGGTTACAATGCTCTTCCTGTTTACTTCAGGAATATATCCTTCTGAGGTCTTTGGTGTAGTTGAAGACTAAATAGTTATAATTATTGGTAATGGTTATATTGGTTATGATAAAAGATAAATTAGATATGAAACTTTAGACTCACAAATATAGGATAGAATATTTTCTTTAATTTTGCCAAATACAAATAAACTAGATATTATAACTTAATTCTTGCTTGATAACTGTTCTATTATATGTAATTTTACTATGTTAAGGTTAAAATCTTCCTTTTTGTGTAGACAGAAAAGAAGAAATGCTGTGGGATAATGCTTTTGTACACTGGTTTAATAAAAAACTGATTGGCCAGTAGCTAGGCAGGAAATATAGGGGCAAGCAGACTAAAGGAATGCTGGGAAGAGGAAAAGCAGAATCAAGAGTCGCCAGCCAGATGCAGAGGAAGCAAGATGTAAATGTCTAACTGAGAAAAGGTACCAAGTCACGTGACATAAATAAGAATTATGGGTTAATTTAAGTGTAAGAGCTAGTTAGTAATAAGTCTGAGCTAATGGCTGGGCAGTTATAATTAATAGAAGCTTCTATGAGTTTACTTGGGGGATGTGAGTGGGAGAGATTTGTCCTAACCATCGGCAGGCTGGGACACAGAAAAACTTCCAACTACAATGAATAAAGCAGGAAGAGATGTGATGAAAAACTAAGGAAAAGCATTAAACTACTTTAATTATCAATGCTCTCATCTTACACAAAGACCTGACTCCTTGCTAACATTAAGTAAGTCTAAGCATAGAGAGTTTAACCAGTAGACTGCAAGGTAGCAGAGAAGGAGCCTTCTGCAAGACTTCACCCATGGCCATAAAAGAAGCTTCTTCGCAGCCAGCTTGGATCCCAAAGTCCCACTCAGTCTTTTTCTCTCTGTCATGTATCTTCCTTTCCATTTCCATCACAAACAGTATTGAAGACAGTTTCCCCTAACTTTAGACCACGACAACTACTTAAGTTTCCTGAAAGGTGCTGTGTACCTGTGGCTAATTATAGGCTCACTTTCAATGTTTACTGAAGATAAACAAAAATTTACCCCTAAAGTGAAAACAAAGCACCACCTAGCTGCTGTTTGAAACTCCTCTTGCCTCCCCTAATGTGGCACTAATTTTCTTTTTAAACCTTAATTAGCTTCACATTATCCTTAACTGGACCAGAGTCTCCAATCTGACTATCTAAATTTTGTCTTGCTCTATAGTGCAGGCCACATACCACCACCCCGGCAACATTCCTAAAGCACACTTGGGGCACACCACTCCCTTGCTCAAACCTAAATGTCACCAACTTCATCAAGCCTTTCTCAGAGTTCCTCACCTTCTTTCCAACACTCTCTAGCCCTTTATTTCCCCTTCTTAGCACCCGTGACTTTAAACCATTAATATTTCTGTTCACATGCAGTCTCTAATATAAGCTGCATGTGGCCTTTGAATTATTTCAGATCTTTCACGGTCCTTTGCACAACATATTATATATAATTACTGAGAAACCCAATATGATGTTGATCTTTAACAATGGAAACTTATCAGTCTTCCCCCATACAAACACTGTTTATAAATTGTCTTAAATCTATCTTATGCACATATAAAATAGACCCTTACCAATAATCTCTTTGCAAGGATTTTCTGGAGTGATAGGGACTCTGCAAGCTGGACACTGGCTGTTATTCTTCAACCACAAGTCGATACAAATGGAACAAAACACATGGTTGTTGGTGCATACAACAGGTTGACGCACCTTTGAAAAAGAAGAAAAGAGAAAAAAAAAGAAACATTACTTTTAGTACAGAGCAACCGTCATAACTGGATTCCCAATATGATTTTGTTTAGAGCAAACAAATCGTCCCTTTCAAGTATGGGGTAGTAAGTAGGGTAAGGAGAGCACACTGAGGAGTGTCAAACAATGCTTCTCTTGACCACGCTGTCCTCCTATGACAGAGATGCTGGATGACAGAGTTGGTCATGGAGACCGCAACTTTGATCTGAGATGCTTATTATGTATTTAACATTCATGGGCAAAAAAGAAAATACTTTCTATTTAATAATTCTGGGACTTTTTCCCCTCAGCCTATTTTCTACTAAAATTATAGGATAGCAGAATCATCAATGTGATACTTGAATTCTTCAGTGTATTCCACTATATCATAAAGTACCAACAACCCCCTACTAAGCATTACAAAAAGATATGTAATGATTTTGAAGTGGTTTGTCATGACTTCATTGCCCAATATAATGGACTGGGGTAATACGACCTTTAAGAAAGGTGACTCTGTGTTGGGAGAAGTCAGGTCTTGGTAACAGTGATTAATTCCCACAAGAGTTAGTTGATAAACAAAGACCAAGTCTGGCCCTCTCCCTAGTCTCTTGTTTCCTATCTCACCACATAACTCCCTTTCTTTCTTTCTTTCTTTCTTTCTTTCTTTCTTTCTTTCTTTCTTTCTTTCTTTCTTTCTTTCTTTCTCTCTCTCTCTCTCTCTCTCTCTCTCTCTCTCTCTCTCTCTCTTTCTTTCTTTCTTTCTTTCTTTCTCCTTCTTCTCTCCCCTCTTCACATGGCTAGAAATTCAGGTCATATTATGTTCATGGATGTTCTAATTTTATCCTGCTGTTCATAAAATTTCTTAAGAGCCCCAGACTTCTAAATACTAGGATGACAGCACCATATTTATCCTATAGTCCCTTCTTCCCAACCACATACTACTGTAGTATTTTTAAAAGTAACTTATACCCCAAGAGTAAGAAGCCCAGTAATGAAGGAAGCTGTTTTCTTAGACTAGTAGCCAGTTTGGAATGGTAATTGAGGTGGTTTGAATAAAAATAGCTCCCATAAGCTCATATATTTTAATGCTCAGTTACCAGGAAGTAGAACTGTGGAAAGGATTCGGAGGCATGGCCTTGTGGGAGCAAGTAGGTAGATTACTGGGCTTTGAGGTTTCAAAAGCCCGAGCCAAGCACAGTCCCACACCCACACCCTGGTCCCTGCCTGCAGATCAGGATGTAGCTCTCAATTACTTCTCCAGTACCATGACTGCCATCCCTCTAAAACTTATGGAAGCCAATATTGAAGACAGAACCATACACATTATATAAGGGACATCAAGATGCTCCACCTTGTAAGAAACTACGTAAAAGCAATCAGGGAAACAATTTAAAAGCAATCAAAATTTTCTATATATTTAGTTAAAGAGATCTTTCAATCTAGAGGACGGTTTTGATTAAATCAAAGTGCCAATGACAAGAGGAACAGTTTTCTATGTAGTGAAAGTCCAGGTCCTATTTTGGTCATATGACATTTCTTACATCAAACTCAATTATAAGTGGGTAAGCCTGGGGTAAGAAGCCTTGAGAGTCACTGGCATAAAAGAGAACAGCATCTAAAACCACAGGACGGGTGCAGATTCCTGGCCCAGGCCAAATGGCTGGAGGAAAAGGGCAAGTACAAGAGGAGCACCTAGAAAAGAAAGCTGAGAACAGGACCTGAGTGCCAGGATGGAAAGCATGGCAGTTCTCAACAGGGAGGCAGTCCCCAAGTAAGACGTTGATGAAGTAGAGATGACACTGTGATTTAACTGTATGAAATGATTTGCTACTGAAAAGAGTTTCTCAGCAAATGAGGGTTGGGGACAGAAACACAAGAAGGTTGAGAGGCAATGAACGCTGAAGATAGAAAATACAGACAAGTCTCAGATATAAAGGAGAAAGTATACAAATTGGACCATAGTTAGCAAGTCACAGTGATGGAGAGGGTAGGGATAGCACAGCCAGAGACAGCAAAATTCCCAAGAAGCCAAAAGGGGAACGGGATTAGAGCCCCAGGACGATTTTGTCTTACACAGGAGGGAGGAGCCAGCTTCCATAGGAAGACAAACACAGGGGTTGATCTGAGGACTGGAAAGAGAGAGGATCCATGTTCCGGCTTTCTCAGCTGGGACTTACTCTTTAAATAGAAAGCAAAAAGTGAAGAAGGGGACAGTATGTAGATGTGAGAAAAGGAAAATAAAGCAGTTATTCTGGAAAGCAAAAACCAAGTTTATTAGGAGTACTTAGCAGGACTAATTAATTTTGTTTAATTTCTATTTGAGGTCTGTGGTCTTGAATGCAATGTAAGACCAACTCACACAGGGGTGAATTTTTCAGCTGGTGAGCTGCTCAGGTTTAGGCAGGAAACAGATAAAGAGTTTGTTTTACCCAGAGTTGGGGTTTTGCCAAAGAGGAAAGGGGAAGTGGTCACAATGGTCATAAGACAATGAGCACTTAAATGGCAATGATGACAATGAAGAAGTGACACAGCATCAATGACAGGCTTCAGGAAGCAGAAAGAGCTTAGCAAAAATGGGATCAGAGAGTAAACACATCTGGTCAAGATACCAGGGGAGGCACAGGGGCTGCTAACATTTGTCTGGGGCCGTATTATCTGATATGCCCAATTTCTCTCTTAATCTCATGTGTCACGTGTGGTTAATGTGTATTCTATGCTTACAACTCCCAAGTCTCTCTCTGACCTCAGTAAGAGACAGAGTTTAGGCTTCTAAGATAAACCTGGGGCCAGCTCCCAGTATCCCACATTTTAACCTCAAGTAAACCTTTTGGTTATTGTAGGCTTAGTTTTTAATCTCTGAAAATTATGGCTTTCATTTATGTGTTAATTTAAGTTAAATAATATATGCTAGCAAATTCACATAACTCCCCTGCACTCACACGGGGACACACCACACACACATACACACACACACACACACACACACACACACACACACACACACACACACCAGTATTGCATACCCAAGGGACCAAATACATAAAAAGAAGTTAAAGATGCCAGAAACATGGGAAGGAAAACATGTAGGGAAACTACAGTGAGTAGAGCCAGCCCACCTGCATGACTATCTGGACTGTCCCCAGCAGTCTATGGGGAAAGAGCTTCCCAATCGCTAGGGTTATCAAATTCCATAGTGTGTCCAGGATGCCAGGTGTGGAGTACCAGGCTCTAGTGTTTACTTTGTTGGGTTTCAGTCTTACCTTAAAGCTTTCTGTATTCCGCCAGGTGGCGGTGGCGCACGCCTTTAATCCCAGCACTTGGGGAGCAGAGGCAGGCGGATCTCTGTGAGTTCGAGGCCAGCCTGGACTACAGAGCAAGATCCAGGACAGGCACCAAAACTACACAGAGAAACCCTGTCTTAAAAAAAAAAGAAAGAAAAAAAGGATTTTAGGCCGGGCGGTGGTGGCGCACGCCTTTAATCCCAGCACTCGGGAGGCAGAGCCAGGTGGATCTCTGTGAGTTCAAGGCCAGCCTGGACTACCAAGTGAGTCCCAGGAAAGGCGCAAAGCTACACAGAGAAACCCTATCTCGAAAAACAAAAAAACAAAAAAACAAAAAAACAAAACAAAAAAAAAAAAAAAAAAGCTTTCTGTATTCCTATTCCTCCCTTTTAGAAAAGAAATGTTTACCTTATACTATTCCACTTTGCAATTATGTAACTTGGTTTTCAGTTCTTCCCTCCAGTGTTTCACAACTATATGTCTGCCTTGAGTCTCATGAGACTTCAAACAATAACAGAATAGTTAAAATTTTGGTACTCTTGGGGATGGGCTGAAGGTACTTCATAGTTTGAGATGGCCATGTGACTGTGGAGGCCAGGGATACAATGCTATAGTTTGGATCCTGTACATCCCCCAAAGGTCCATGTATTGCAAGTTTTATCCTCAGCCTGTGGCCTACTGAGAGATAGCAGAACCCTAAGGAAGTTGTTTGTGGTGTGCCCCTGAAGGCTACTGGGACCCAATCTTTCCGCTTCTACTCTTTGCTTCCTAGCTTCCAAGAACAGATTCTCTCACCATGAACTCCTGTTATGATATTCTATGTTTCCTGTAAGAAAAAAATGTGAACTAAAATAAATATTTCCTGTGTATGATATATTTCATAGTGCAGGAAAGGCTTCTCACATTTTTACATGGCTATATCTTTGATAACAGTATGCTCTTTTTTTCCCTTTAATGTTCTTTTTTTTCTACTTTGTGCCTTGCTTAGACAATTGGTTATATTCCACTTTCCCCATTAGAATTAGTCTCAGTGGGGGAAGGATAGTGTCCTGCTCTTTGTATCTCCTTACTTCACTTGGTAGATTGCTTTGAAGATGGTGGGATTTAATAAAAGTAAATTTTGACACAGAAAATGAAAAAGTGAGATGATGTTGCCCAAACTGTCTTCTGAAGCAAAAGATTATGGTCAAACAGTAAGAAAAACATTTTACCTCTCCATTTAGTGTACCAAAATGATAAAAAAAAAAAAAAAAAAAAACCCTACAGGCAGACTACTTTGCTCTGGCTGCTTAGAGCCATCAACAAAGGCCCACAACAGAATCATTTGTACTGTTGGAACGTCCTATTACTGTCACTGTGTTGGGTTTTTAGAAGCTGACTAATCCATTTCTCTGGACAGGCTATGTATCAGATAATGATTTCCAGAGGGCAGTATATCTTTAGCTTAAGATCCTCCAGCTAAGATGGTGGACTAAAAACTGCCTACATGGGACATGTTAGGAAGGAAAATTAGTGCCAGAATGGACTCTACTCCAAAAACAAAAAAGAGCTTCAGAAATGTGCATGTGATGATATAATGGCAGAGAGCACTAAGAAAAGAATGGGCAATGCATAGAAAAGAAGCAAGGCAAACTTAATACAGCTTCACCCATGGGAATCCCCAGCAAGCAGACAGGAAGCAGAAGTCTTATCTAAAAGGTA